CCAACTCTCAAAAAGCCTGGTGCAGACCCCAATAACTTTGATAATCTTCGCCCTATATCAGATCTCCTCTTTATTTAAAAAATTCTTGAAAAAGTTGTCGCCTCCCAGCTTCACTTATACCTCAATGACCATAATCTTTATGAACAATTTCAATCTGGTGTCTGCCCCAATCATAGCACAGAAACTTCTTTGTTAGGGATTACCAATGACCTTCTGATGGCAGCTGATTCTGGTCTCCTATCCATCCTCATCCTTCTTGATCTTAGTGCGGCGTTTGATACCATTTCTCACAATATCCTCCTGAACCGGTTAGCATCCATTTGCATTACACATACCCCCCTTGCTTGCTTTGCCTCATATCTTTCAGACCGCACTCAGTTTATCCAATTTAAGAATAGAATAGAATATTTATTATCCCATGGATTAGAAATTTCGGTGTTACAGAGCTCTTACGGCAAGGGAAAATAAAATATAAAAGGAAGACACATGGTGGTCCTATAAACATAAGCAACCGAAGTTCGTATATACAGGTAACAATGTACAGAAATATGTATAGAAAAATTGTACGGAGATATGTATAAAATGTATAAAATGTACAGCAAACAAACAAGCTGGTGAGTAAGTGACCACAAGAAAGTTAAGCTGCATTAAATCACACTCTTCAAGTCTCTATCCTGTTTCTGCTGGTGTGCCCCAGGGTTCAGTATTAAGGCCTCTTTTATTCATTATTTACATGCTCCCTCTTGGTCATATATTTTGAAAATATAATAGAAATCTTCACGGTTATGCCGATGACACCCAGCTCTACATCTCTTCTAAACCCAATTCATCCCTCCCACCTGCCTCCCTCTCAAACTGTCTTATCGAGATTAGATCCTGGTTCTCCTCCAATTTTCTTAAACCAAACAGTAATAAAACAGAAGCTTTACTCGTTGCTACAGCCTCTATCTTAATCAAATCCCACAGTTTTTCCATTAACATTGAAAATTCTCCCACCCTTCCCTCCCCTCAGGTTAAGAGTTTGGGTGTCATACTTGATACTACTCTTTCATTCCAGTCTCACACTAATTACTTAACCCGGTCTGCATACTTCCACTTACATGATATTAACCGACTCCGTCCCATATTGATTACTGCAATTCCCTCTTATTTGGTCTCCCTAAAAGGTCCCTTCATAAACTCCAACTTCTTTAAATTTCTGCAGCTCAGGTCATAACTCATACTCCGTCAAGAGCTCATACTACCCCAATTCATCAGCAGCTTCACTGGCCCATAGAGGCCAGGATAAACTTTAAAATCTTACTTCTCAAATACAAGTGTATCCATAAATCTGCTCCTTCCTATTTGTGTGACCTGCTTCATATCACCACTGTTTCCCGCCCTCTCAGATCCTCATCTGCTATTCATCTTACTGTTCCGTCCACACGTCTTATCACCATGGGGAACAGAGCCTTCAGTCGCTCTGGAACTCTCTTCCTGTATTTAAGTCACAGCTCAAAACACAACTGTTCAAACTGGCTTATTCGCTTTAGTGCTCATTTTATTTGTTGTCAAGTTCTGTTTTGCAACTTATTTTATGACTATTGCTCCTTTTATTAATTTTGTTCTTTTGTAAGGTGACCTTGGGTTTTTGAAAGGCGCCCTCAAATAAAATGTATTATTATTATTATTATTATTATTATGATAGCATGCCTTCCAGCAAGTCCGTGAACATATTGGGAGGTCAGTTCCT